ACGCTGCTCCCGACGACATCTATCAATACGAACGGCAAACACGTCCCGCTGCTGGACTTGGTCGTCTGGGCCACCGCCCGCCGTAGATCCTGGCAAGTTTCTTGGCCTTATTTTTTACTAAAAGAGAACTACGCTCTGTAATTTTACAAGAAAGAAAGTGAAAGCCGTTTACAAGTCCCTGTAACGCCGAATTGGAGCGCAGCTCTTGAGGAGAAGCAGTGAAGGGTACTGAGGGGAGGGTCGACCCAAATACTTTACTAGGGGGAATACATTCCACTCCTCTCAAATACAATAGCTTTGGCGCGGACAGGTTTTCTGGGCTTGGCGAGAGCCATCTATCGTCGTGGAGGTCTCGGCTACCGGGCGGTAAAGATACTTCGTTTCACCTTATGTGCGAGCGAAGGCAAAGCTGGAAGCGCGAGCACGAAAGCTCCGCGCATTCAGGCTTTGCTCGAGCGCGCGAGCTGGGCAGAAACGCAAAAAGCGCTGCTCTCGCGCTTTTAGCTTTGCCTTCGCTCGCAGATAAGGTGAACCGAAGTATAGCTCAGTGCTGCGCCAAATACTTTGCTGCGCTGTGCCGACGTAATCTTCCCAAGGGTTGCACGTTGCACGTGCCTCGTGCATCGACGCACCTCGCGGAGACGACACCGCCGCGGCCGCCTCGAACATCCACGTGCACATGCGCGTGGACTGACGCGGACCTACACACCGTCAGCGGCGCTGCAGGCGTTCTGTCTAATGCAAATGAGCAGAGTGGAATGTATTCCCCCTATACTCTGTTTCATACTTAGCGTGCAACGCTGTCAAAGCCACTGGCGCGAGCGTGTCTCTTCATCTATGGTTTTGCTTGCGCGAGAGCGCGTGCAAATGAACAACGAGATGAAGCCCCACGCTCGCGCCAGTAGCTTTGACAGCGTTGAACGCTAAGTATGAAATCGAGTATAGTAAAGTATTTGGTAGACCTTTCCTCCTCCCCTCATTCTTTAATATGCTCCGGGGGGTCACGTGACCTCGGGGGGGGGGGGGGCGTGTCACGTGACTTCAGGGAGGGGCGTCACGTAACCCCGGGGAGGCGTGACCTGGGGGTCACGTGACCTTGGGGTGACCTTGGGTGCCACGTGGGGGTCACCTTGGGGTCACGTGACCTTGAGGTGACCTTCGGGGGTCACGTGACCTTGGGGGGTTACGTGGCCTTGGGGAGGAGACCACGTGACCTCGAGGGTCGCGTGACCTCGAAGGGGTCACGTGACCTTGGGGGTCACGTGATCTTCAGGGGGTCAGGTAGGGGTCACTTTGGGGGTCACGTGACCTTGAGGTGACCTTGGGAGGGGTCACGTGACCTTGGGGATCACGTGACCTTGGGATGACCTTGGTTACGCCGACGGCGACGCCGCCCAAGCCGGAAATGGGCGCCTAAAGCGCGATCCAAACCAACGCTTCTTTTTGCGCCTGTAGGTCGTGCGGCTGCGGATGTGACGCATTTCGTGGCGTTTTTGCTGTTTCCGGGCGCGCTTTCTGAGTCAGAACCGTGCGCTTTGGTTTGGACGGGGAAACTTAGGGCGAGCGCGCACGCGCGCACGCAGGCACGAGCGCACAAGCAAGGTGCAACTGCGACAGACTGGCCGGCCAGACGGCGAGAGAAAGAGAGAGAGAGAGAGAGATTGCGTTGTCATGTTGGAAGATAATAAAAGGGAGGGAGGAGAGGACAGCCAGACGGCGAGAAACGCGGAGCCGGAACTAGCTTGCCCTCCACCGATTGGCCGGGACACATGAGCGCCCTACGACGTCACCACGCGTTTTTGTGCGCGTTGAGAAGTTGAAATCAACCAACTTTCTTGTGCGCGCCCGGAAGGAGCGAAGAAGTGGCGCGACGTCACGAAAATACGTCACATCCGCAGCCGCACGACCTACAGGCGCAAAAAGAAGCGTTGGTTTGGATCGCGCTTAAGAGCTGCGCTCTAAAACCGACGCGTAAAATAACCTGTGACGAAAAGTTCAGATGGATACGTGCAGGCGTAGATTTTTAAGGTTCATTTTTGATCGAGCCTGGTGACTTGAACCACCCTATACAATTACCGGTGTCAAGTTTAGGTCGCATGAATCACGTCTTTTTACATAAGTGACACAGATGATCGCAACGCGTGAGCTGCATCGCGATCGCGATGAATCGTTATGGCCGACGGCGTAATGTCGAGCGTGTCTGTGCGGAGATTTGCCACACTTTTGAAATTTTAGCTGTCCAGTCGGGCTTTTTAAAAGGTTGTCACGTCGCGATTGCCACGCAGCAGTCCGGTGGAAGACGTGAACCAAGTGTCGTCGCTGAACTCGGGGAGTAGGACAGAATGCTGGCCCCAATGAGAAGATTCCTCGCAAGGATGCGGGAGAAAGCGCAGGATTTCGAGGGCGGACACGCCTCGTCCGTCCCTGCACGCCATCTCGGCTGCAGTGTCGGTAAGTGCTTGGAAATACCCTGGGAACCGTAATGGACGGTTTTAGCGTAGCGTTGCCGTGTGCAGCCGAATTGCGACTGGGAGCTTGCGCTGTAACTTTAAAACATCCTTTTCAGCGCGCACCTAAAGCCTTACCAGCCGTACCGCGGCCACCGCAGAATGCGGTAGTGGTTTGCTAAAACTGCCTACTGGTAGTGAACTGACACGGTGTTTTTGGTCTTATTGACTTTGCGCGGGTGTGCTGCCTCGTAATGTTTCTTCGAAAGCTGGGATCGTAGCGCTCAAGCTCACGGGTCAATATCTCTAGACCTGTAAATGAGGCACTCCGATACCTAAGGTGCATTACATCAACACATAACCAGAAAGGCTGTCCATTTCTTGTGCGTTAACTTGTGTTTAATTGAATTATGCAGGACTGATCTGCTGTGGCCAAGGGTGCTAGTGAGGACCCAGCACAGATGGCAGCCTCCACCGCCACCAAATGGTAGGCATAAAAAGCAGTCTGGATTCATCCCCATAATACGTGGTTTCAACCTATGTCAGGACATGTATGATGCGTGAGTGCCGTCGGTAGTCTCATGCTGGTGGCCACTTATGGTCATAGGTCGGCATTTTAAGCTGTCCTCACTCAAACTCACGATCACCATTTTTTCCTCGATCAGAACTCACACCCACTCACGATCACGATTTATTCAAAATAGGATCATCACCCGGACTCACCCTCACGGTTCAACGCAAAACCAAAACTCACTCGCCGTCATCATCACGGTCGTCACGCTCACAGATCATCACGGTCATAACGCTCAGATGTCATCACGAATCATCAGACTCACAGGTCATCACACTCACAGATTCTCAAGGTTCTCACACTCACAGGTCATCACACTCACAGATCCTCACGGTCCTCATACTCACAGGTCATCACGGTCCTCACGGCACTCACACTCACAGCTCCTCACGGTCCTCACACTCGCAGCTCCTCACGGTCCTCACACTCACAGGTCCTCGCGGTCGTCACTCTCACACTGTCCCCACGGTCCTCACACAGGTCTTCACGCTCATCCCACTCACAGGTCCTCACACTCACAGGTCATCACACTTGCCGATGTTGGGACCGAGCGGTTGTCCGGGGACTTGGGGTACGGCAGGGAACCGAGCCAGGGCAGGAACTCATGTGGAGGCCGGAATCGTGAAGGACCAGGGAGCAGGAGGGGTGTCTCTTAAATAATATAACTCTTTATATATACATATGAACAGGTTACATCAACTCAAGAACACTTGAGAACACTGTCAAGAACACCAGAGAACACAAGCTAGCAGCGGCCTGCTGCTCATTTTATAATGTCCCCTTTCCCCACATCCCTAGTAGGGAATCCCCAGGGTTCATTGTTCGTAACGTCCAGGCACGCCATCTCCCTCTTTCTCGCACTGCAATACACGACGTGCACACCGAAGGGCAGACCTGGGTCAGGGTGTCGCCCGTCGATCTCGTTGGTCACCGGCGCCATCGCGGTCCGGACGGGCAAAGATTCCTAATTGCAGGCGTCTTGATCTCCGTGCGTAAAGGGGATAATCCCATCGAAGTTCGAAGCTGGGGGAGGACGCAAAGCCGCCTCCTTTGTCGAGGGCGTCCCACGGCTGCCGAGGCGCCGCGCGTCGAGGCCAGATCGAAGCAGGAAGGAGAGGGCCCGGAAGGTAAAGCCCGATGACACTGGCGTCCGTCAACTTAATAATCCTTCGTTGGAGGCCACGTCGTCCCTTCGCAAGAGGCATGTTGGCGACCCCAGGCGCCGCCTGCCCTGCCTCCATGCACCGCTGAGCGTAGCCACCTGGTGACGATGCTCCAGGGCGTGCACCCGTGCCGGTCGGTCTAGAAGGGCAAGGTCGTCTCCTGGGGCCTTTCGCAACAGCTCCTCCTCCGCCAGGAAAAGTGTCTTGAAGGGGAGCAGTCCACAATGGTCCCTTGAAAGACGCGGTCTCACGGCTGGGCTGGCGACTGAGGTCCAGGCTGGAGTCCAAACTGAGAAGTGGCCGTAACAATGACCAACAACACCAAACCAAACTCCGGGCAGGCAAGCGCACAGCCCCCAATCTCTCCAATCCGCCAGACCAAAACAAGCAACAAAGAAATGCCTCGCGAAAGTTCCGTGCTATTCTATTAACAAAAGACACGCAGAAAAAAACTTATTTCCTCCGATAGGTTGCTTTGACGAAAGAAACTTTTGCAGACTAATAAAACCCTCTAACGCTTAACCCAAAATAAAACGGACTCCCGTGAAAAAAAAACCACATTGCAAACCGTAATGTAACTCATATAGGGCATATCCCTATTAAATGCAAGCATCCTTCATAAAGCAAACTATACCGCGTATAAAACCGCTTTAAATGAACTTTACCGCCAACGCGACGAGCTAAAGCCGAACGAAACGCAAAACTCGGACTCCCGGAAAAAGAAAAGCTAATAGCCTTGCCGAATCACCTAGTCGACTGAATAGCACTGAAAACTCCACGTTTAGCCCTCCCTTTTCCCTCGAAAGTCCTTCTTTGCATCTAACCCACGCCGTGTTTGTTCTTGGCATCACTCGGACTGTTCAAGTTCTTCTCCTTGGACTTGCGTGCAGGCGCGAAGCTGCAGTCCCGGAGATCTCCCTTGGTTTCCCCGTCCGACGTGATGCCTGGCTGAACCACGGGCGATGAGCTGTGCCTCCGTTTGGAACCTCGCTGCGTCGTTCCAGGCTCGTTGTTGCCTCCTCCAGGCTCTTTTCTCGCACTTGAGCTGTGGGTCCGTGGCTTGTTGGGATTGGGGTGCTGGAGTTTTCCCCCTCCCAGCTTCGAGGACCGCTTCCTCTTCTTAAGGTGGCGCTCGTCGCGTCTTCCTGGGCGCTCTTTGCAGGAAGCTTTGCTGCTAGAACGTACAACGCTGATTCGGCGCCGCCTCTTCCTCTTGGGTCTCGGTTGCTTGCTCATAACAGCCTCCGAGTTCTCTGTCTCAGATGCACCATGCCGCGAAGATGACGACCTCCTCAGGTGCACTGGCGTCGGGCTTGCTTTGTCTCGCCCGGGCTCCATCGTGTCTCCAGTGGGTCCCTTGCCCGCGCAGCCGCCTCCGGTTGCAGGTTCCTTGTTATGGCCGGCTTGGGGTCTCCCGTCCTCCAACCTCGACGACTCGCTACCGGACGTGTGCTCGTCGACGTTCTCCTGGCTCGCGGACTCCGTGAAGGGTCTGGAGTCCGGGCTCCGCAACCGCACCAGGCAGGTGTGGTTGATCTCGTCGAAGGAAATCCCAATCACCTCCCTCCTGGTGAGCCGCGTGGACTCCTGCGATGGCGCCGTGGGCTGGATCCCAAAGCCGCACGGGTGCCGATCAGAGCGGTCAGGATCCTGGCTTGTTTGCTGAACCGCTGTTTGTGGCATCTCGGCGCCGCTCTCCATAAGCTGGCTGGACTCCCCCGGCGTCGTCTCTGTCTTGGCGTCGCCTTCGTCCTCCGGGAAGTCGCAGCTGGACGCCCGAAGAGCCTTCTCTTCCTTTTCCCGCCGCTCGGGCGTTCGGTTGGTCTTGCGTGGAACAGCGTCGGTCGTGTCGGAGGAAACACGCTGGTTTCCGGTCACCTCGGTGTCTCCAGCTTCCGTTTTCCTCTTTTCCTGACACACCACTTCTGCCGCTGCTTCCACATCACTTTCACCGTTCCGCCGCTCGGAGTTCGGGTCGGGCTTGCGAAGAACGGCGACGGTCGTGTCGGGAGAAAGACGCTGGTCTCCGGTCAACTCTGTGTCATCAGCTCCCACTTTCTCCTTTCCCTGACACGCCTTTTCTGTCACCCCTTCAACGCCTGTTGCCGCCCGACAAAGAGCCTCCAACTCCCGCGCTTTTCCGCGAGCTCGAGCTGCTCGAACTCGTAGTCCAGCCGCTCTATTTCGCTCTTGTACTCGCGTTGCTAGAGTTCCCATTTCTCACACTCGAGAGCCCACGCGAGTTCCTTTCTAGCCCTCTCGCGAGCCTTCTCGTCGGCCCGCTTTCTGCGTTCCTCCCGCTCCCTTTCGCGAACTTCCTCCAGAGCCTCTGTGAAATCCTCAACACTGACGTCTTCGGCCTGAAGGAGTTTTATGATGTGCGGTTTTCTTTTTGTCTGCCCCAAATCGATCCCTAATTCGGTACAGACCTGTACCAGCTCATGCCAACGGAATGCCTCAAGACCCGTGATCTAGCTTGTGTTGGTCCCCTTTCTCACAAAATGCCCGCGTTAGAACGGTCACACAGTCCTTCTAACAACGACTATCTCCAACCCCCATAGGCAAGACTTAGAGCTAATGGGTCTGGCAGATTGGAAAAGAAAGGGCCGGGCGCACTCACCCACACAAGAAGTCATGGTCCGGCGAAGTCGATCCCACCGCTGCCATCCAGTTGTTGGGAACGTGTGGTTTTCCGGGGACTGTGGGGACGGCAGGGAGCCGAGCCAGGGCAGGAACTCATGTGGTAGCCGGACTCGGGAAGGACCATGGGGCAGGAGGGGTGTCACTTATATAATATAACTCTTTATATATACATATACATACTAAGCATCAAACGCTAGGTGGCCTGGCAACCCTGTCCTGTTCGCCATTTTGCCGGTTACTCTAGCAGTCGCTTTTTTTCCGATACGCGAGCCAAGCCAGTGCACGCCGGTTGCTCGCGGACGTCTACGCCAGTTCCGCAAATTTATTTTCTCCGAGTGCGACTAGGCCTTTGTTTCGTGTGGCTAGTGTAGACACCTAGCACCATGCGCATGAGCGCGTACGCGCAGTCCCTGCGCGGACCGGAGGCTCTTCGTTACGCCGAGAAAGTCGGACGCTGCGAGGACGTTGACCCGCTGGCGTTGGCGGACGACGAACTGTCCAGCGACACTGATCTGTGGCCCAGAGTAGATTTTGCTGACGTGAGAGACTATTAGGTAAATGGCACGAGTTTCGCAACACGTGAGCAGTTTAAAGCCTTCAAATCGATGGAGGCCCACAACTTCCTCACGAGTGGCTGGGTGCAGCAACCGCGATCAAAAGTGCTGGGCGACCGCAACGTTGTCATCGTTGGCAAGGTAAGCGAAAAAAACACTTGTCTCACATGCGGATTTAATCCACCACCTCACTAATTCGGAGTTCCGGACCGACTAGTGTCGAAACATCCTTGCGTTTTACGCACGCACTGACGGCTGCGAAAAGGTTTCAAAGCGATACCCGCTTGCTGGCGGTCGTGCCATGCACGCACATGCGCTGTCGAATGCTCTGGAACTCTGAAATCAAAAAGTCATAACTCGTATAACATAAAACGTATCGTGATTGACAAAAAAAAAAAGTTCGTACTTGGTGAGGAATCGGGCGCCGAGTGTTGACGCACCGCAGCTCGGAGCGCGTAGGGCGAAAGCTCGCTCTGCAGATCCCAGGGATCCTGGGTTCAATCTACACCCTGCCCGCTTCGATCTTGGTGAGCGTCGTACGGGCAGGCGGTCGTGTATCACTGCTTCTTTGGTGCGCTTTAAGGAGCCCAGGCTGGCAGTGGTAATGCAGCAACTAAATTTACCATCTACAGCTGAACACCAGATGCTCACTGAGGCTGACTGACTTGTGGCTATCTAAACATAGATACAACAGAGTTACTCCTCCCAGAAAAGGGCAGCAGACCGTAAATTCAGGGGACCATCAGCAGTGCCTTTCTAAAACTAGCATTCTTCTACCTGTTGTCACACTGCAAGCTTGTTCTGTACAACTGAATTTAATGAAGTGACTGTTGGCGAGTAATAATTATCTTTTGCAGGTACGGCACTCCCAGTCATTTAGAGAGAAGCTCTTTCAACCATGGCTTCTTGTCAAGCCAGATGGGGAAGTGCTCCTGGCGCATTGTACGTGCATGGCGGGCCTTGGGGAGGCCTGCTCCCACATAGGGTCCGTCCTCTTCTACCTTGAGGCTCTAATCAAGAGGAGGGAGGAGCTGACGTGCACGGACAAGGAAAATGCATGGCTGCCACCGCAGCTGCAGACGCTGGAGGGCCAGCCAGTGGCCAATATCGATTTCGCCTCGTCCAGGACCAAGATGCGCCGTCTTGGTCAGGGCACAGAGCCACCACAACAGGGTAAACAAGCAACAGTCGCAACTACATCGCCCGATGAATTCAGGTCCTTCCTTGCGGCATGCCACCAAGGGGGATCACGTCCTGCGCTTCTTTCCTTGGTGGAGCCCTACGCTGAAAACTACATTCCCGTGGCCACAAAGTTCCATCAGGCCATCCTGAGCAGCCTCCTCCAGGACACCCGCTCATCCACATGGGACGAGGTGCAAGGTCACTGTGACGTCGCTGCAAGTCGGCTTACCATTGATCCAGAGGTACTTCCAGATTATTTCAGAACGGCGATTTTCTAGTTCCTTGGTCCTGCCGTGCAGATTAGGATCCAAGATGTGACGTCTATAAGGGATACTTATAAACCAACACGCGGCCCTGACGTCATGCAGCTGCGGTGGCGCTGTCGGTGGCACAGTGCATGCGCAGACGCTTCACTCCTTCCAAATTCGGTTTCGGCGCACGCACAGTGCCCACACCTGGTGTGGGCAAAGGCGAGCTTGTTTGTAAACAGCGTGTTGGTCTATAATATACTATATAAACTCCCCCCAATGTGGGGTCTTATGTTGAAAGAATGAAGTGGGATACTATGATAATGACATGTCGTTGTAGGTGTCTGCATTGATTGAAAATCAGACGAAGACACAAGCTGCAAGCGCAAAATGGTTCCAGTTTCGTGCAGGACGGATCACAGCTTCAAATGCCAGAGCGGTGTGCGTGACATCCTTAACCGACCTCTCCATGAGCCTCCTGCGACTCATCTGTTATCCGACAGAATGCACATTCTGGAGCGTCCAGACTCAGTGGGGCAAGGACCACGAGCCTGATGCAAAGGCTTCTTACAGGAGCCTTTCTCCAGAGCGACACATGCACTTGAAGTGTGATCCATCTGGAGTACACGTCTCGACTGAGCACCCGTTCCTGGCAGCCACCCGCGATGGCCTTGTTAGTTGCTTCTGTTGTGGGCCGGGGCTCCTCGAGGTTAAGTGCCCTTATAAAACACGGGAACTTTTTCAAGCAAAAATTGCAGCAACACGTGATGGGTGCCTCACATCTATCGACGGAGAGCTGCAGTTAAACCGGGAGCACTGCTACTATTATCGAGTGCAAATGAAGATCCTAGTCAGCAAGAGAATGTACTGTGATTTCGTTGTCTGGACCCTGAAGGACACATTTATAGAGCGGATCTGCTTCAGCGAAGGCTTTTGCGATGCAATGCTTTCCAGATGCAAGGAATACTTTAGCACTGCTCTACTCCCAGAACTCTGCTTTAAGTACTGGACCAACAAAGAGGGCGAACAAGCTGCAGCAGTGGATGACCCCATGAGTGAAGACTCCGATGAGCAAGATTCATTTTGCTATTGTGGGGGCCAGGGTATGGCGACATGATCCAGTGCGACGGCGAAAGCTGCATTGGGAAGTGGTTCCACTTTAGTTGTGTTAAAATCAAACGTGCCCCCAAAGCACGAAAGTGGTTCTGCAAGAATTGTGCCTCGTCGTCGCAACACTAACTTTTCTAGGGATCTGAATCAACACTGAGATCCTTCATTTTTTTTTGTGTGTGAATTCCAACAGCCTAGTGAGAGTCTCCTGTAAAAGTGTAGCATTACTAGGAAACGAGTGTGTGGTTAGCTGCGTGTACTTTTGTGGCTGTGTAAAAAATGTAACAACTTTTTTCTGTTTGAACAATGAAAACATTTATTCATCTCTTGCACTCAACTCTTGCATATGAATGACTTGCACAATCATTCATCCTTTACAAAAATAACAGCAATTGTTTGTACACATATTTGTCTTGGAAGTGGCTGTCTCTCAAAGTAGTATCACAGTGATCATTACGGGTAGCCTTTGCAGTTTAGCCTTATTTTCCTAGTCGAACGGAACAACAGAATCGCAGGGATTGTTAAAGGCAGAACAAACGGCCACTATTTTGTCGAGAGTAGTGGCATTCCCGATACCCCTAGCCACAAGCGACTCGACTGGGATTGTACTCTTTAGGATGGTGTACTTGTTTCGGACAAGTCCTATCACGCGTTCAACGTGAATGCGGACATTCGCCAATTTTCTTCTTGATTCGACAACAGCTGGAGGCAGCTGCGCTCGTTCCCTTGTGAAAGCCGGAATCTCCAGCCGTGCACAGTGAACTCCAAGAGCGTCAGCAATCCTAAAACCTCTGTCTGTCAGAACAGAATCATCGGGCAACAGATTATCTAGCACTCCACAAGACTCTGTGATCAGCTTGTCACTAGCCCGTCCACCCCAACCTTTCGATATGAAAGTGATCACACCCTGATGAGCAATACCGATCAGATATTTCACGGTGTTGTGGTGCATGTAGGTAGACCACGTGAGCGCTCGTGCCACGAGTGACGACGGTCTTTCAATAAATATCTCGAAGCAATCTAGGATCACCGCTACCCTGCTGCCAAATTCCTTTCGAAAAGTCATTGGCATGGTCTTTTTCAAGTGCTCCCGCTCTGGCCATTTGATGCAGTCTGAGAGTCGTGTGTAGCCCACGTCCAGCCATTTCTCTACAATCCGAGAAACTGTAGACTGTGAAACTAAAACCAAAGAAAAATTAAAAAAATATAGTTTAGCATTATGATTGAAGATAATGTAACAAGGCAGGCAAACTGGTTAAAGTTGAACATTTCTAAAACCGAAAACGAATAAGAGGGGACAGATTCAAGTCGTCTCAAAGTCTTGTGTTTGTCCCCTCTTTGAGTTTCGATCTCGAGTTTTAGAAATGTTTAAGTTGAGCAGTATGTTTAGACTGTTTTAATGTACTAAAAGTCAAACCAACAAATGACTATAGCTACATGGATGTGTTGATAACTTCGCAACAAAACTTGCTAAAGGGCAAGCATTACGGCTCCCATCAGCCAACCTGAGCAAAGCGTGCGATAACCCTCCACAAAAGAAGTGCCCTCCACCTGTGCGAGAATTTAGGGTAGAAAAGGGGGAAGAGAGTCTTCTCTATCATCTGATATTCTGCCCCGCCCCCCCCCCCCCCCATCTCATCTGAAAAAACCTGCATTCAACACTGTAAGTATTATAACCGATAAGTTTATATTTGTGAAGGTTCACCTGTAGGCAAGGTCCTGCAGGGGCACGTTCATCCGAAGCCTGATGAAAAAAAGAATCATTTCCTGAAATTTGCTCAGGCATTTGTGGGCGTTGTGGCTGACGTGAGGTTGCAGCAGTTCATTAATGGCGAAAAGGACTGTGGAGTTTGGAAGCCCTGTGTAAAAATTGACTAAGTCGTCGTTGTTTCTAAATGCATCTTCTTCAAACTTCTGCTTGCTAAGGCTGGCTCAAGCAGAGCACAGATCCGAGAGGAGCCGGCGATTTTCCTCTTCTAGTCTAACGACGTCCTTCATCTGAAGCTCCGTAACAGATTCCTGGTCTTGCAACTCTAAAACATTACACACACAAAAAAAAAATTGAGTTCTCAGGAACTCTTACTTGGCATGCTGAGGCTACTTACTAGGACTCTCGGGCGATCCTGCGCAACGTCCCTGGTCTTGCAACTCTGAAACGTAATGAACAGATTTGCATTCATTACAATATGCTTTTACTTGAAAAGCCAATGCCTCGCTGACCGATCAAGGTAACACTTACCGGAGTGTTCGGGTGACTGCTCTTCTGGCAGCAAAGAACGCTGCATCTCGCCGACTACCTCGGGTGTAGCCGCTGCGATGTCTGGTTGCTGACTTGCTGCTGCCGCCTTGCTACGTCCAGGTGCTTTGGGTCGCGCTTGTGTACGCTTGTACCTAAATATGTCCAGTACGCAAAAGCAAAGTTATCAGTAATGGACAGTGGCGTCACTAGGGTCAGTAGCACCCGGGGCAATGGCCTGCAAACACAACCCCCCCCCCCCCCCCCGAGTGCTGCATCCGGGGTGGTTTGCCCCCTCCCCCTAATGACGCCACTGGTAATGAAGGCATTCTAAGCATCCAACCAGGTAACAGACACTCCCAAAATTTTCACTTGTCGACGGCAGCAGGTTTGTCTGCAACTGACGACTTGTACCCGAGCTTGAGGCTCGGTGCCCAGTCTGGGTTGAGCTCATCCATGAAGTATGTTGGGAGCCCTGAAAATTTCAGTTTTAACATTTTAATTTTGTTCTTTCCCTCTCTCTCCTTTACTTTGATTGTCTCATGACTTTCTCACCCAGTATCGGGTGTCTTAACAAAATAATAAACTTGCATCAGCTCGCCTGCACCCTCAATGTGTTTTCCAACATTTAAAGTTTTTGCGCAAAACGACAGCGCCTGAATGCACTGCATGAACAGACGTGAACACGCTTTGCTTAAATGTAGAATTGTCAATCTCATAAAAACGTTAAAAACTGCATGAAATAAATAAAAAAAAAGATTCTCGTGTGATCGGACGCGGTCATACGCAGTTCGAACACACAGTTTTGCTAGTACCGTGAAACAGCCCATGGGGAACTTCAGTCAAGTGTGCCCACCATTACGCGTGGTTGAAATCGAGTGCTATTAAATCAATATCTGTTCGTACTGCACCATAATGAATAAAACGAGTTCCAACTCACCTGTCACGAAATGTTCGCCGCATACTCGATAGAGCGTCGCATTTGCAGAAAGGTCCGCGCGCCTGATTCTTTGCAGTCACGACGCTCTTCTTTTAGCGGTTATAGCGGCAGTTTGTTGGTATTCACCCAGTCTCACCTTAGGGATTGCATAAAATCCAACACTTTTATAGTTCGTTTCGGAGGGCTTAATTCTAGTGCGATTGCTGCACCCGACCACAACGCAATTTACCATCGCGCAAGACAGTTGATCGCGCTTTCTATTACTTGATGATACCTAGTTTTCGACGAAACAACACAGGAACAAAAGTACACAGAAATCACAAGCGCAGAAACACTAAAAATAAATTCTGAAACGTCGCTGCCCGAGACGAGGAAATGCGCAGCAAACGGTCTGCGGAGGAGCAACGTTGAGCAACACACAAGCGGACACAACGACACAACCTGCAAAATGGCAACCGTTGGCGTCGACGCTAACGCCCCTAGCTTACTGACGTCAGGCGCAAAGCATGTATTAACAGGTTACATCAACTCAAGAACACTTGAGAACACTGTCAAGAACACCAGAGAACACCAGAGAACACAAGCAAGCAGCGGCCTGCTGCTCATTTTATAATGCCCCCTTTCCCCACATCCCTAGTAGGGAATCCCCAGGGTTTATTGTTCGTAACGTCCAGGCGCGCCATCTCCCTCTCTCTCGCACTGCAATACACGACGCGCACACCGAAGGGCAGACGACCTGGGTCACGGGGTCGACTGCCGATCTCGTTGGTCACCGGCGCCATCGCGGTCCGGACGGGCAAAGAATCCTAATTGCAGGCGTCTTGATCTCCGTGCGTAAAGGGGATAATCCCATCGAAGTTCGAAGCTGGGGAAGACGCAAAGCCCCCTCCTTTGTTGAGGGCGTCCCACGGATGCCGAGGCGCCGCGCGTCGAGGCCAGTCTGTCTATGCTGGAAAAAGCGATGAAGAAACTTCATCGTGACGTCGCCGGTGGGAGGAGCCTAATCTCAATCGGCGGCGAACTCAACTGGCAGGGAACTTCATCGCGGCGCGTTGATGACGTCGACGGAGAGTGGTGATTGAGTTGAAACTTCATCGGGATTTGTCCCCAAAATATGTCGCTAGAGGGAAATATGCAACGCCGCATCGAAGAGTCTTGTAAAAGCAACATTTTTAACTTCTGAAAATGTATAATGCGGTACAATCTAAATATAATTACCGCTGTCAAGTCTAGGTGGCATGAATCCTGTATTTTTACGTAAGTGAAACAATTTAGATGATCTCAATGCGTGAGCTGCATCGCGATCGTGATGAATCGTCATGGCCGACGGTGGATGTCGCACGTAAAGTGCTCGTGTGTCCGTACGAAGATTTGCCTCACTTTTGGAATTTTCGCTGTCAAGTCGGGCTTTTTCACGTCGCGATTACCACTCGGCAGTCTGGTGGGGGACGTGAACCAAGTGTCCTCGCTGAACTCGAAGAGTAGGACAGAATCTTGGCCCATATGAGAAAGGTTCCTCGCTAAGACACGGAAGAAGGCGCATAATTTCGAGGGCGGACGCGGCTCGTCCGTCGCCACACGGCATCTCGGCTGCAGTGTCGGTAAGTGCATGGCATCTCATTGGGCGGTTTTAGCGTACCGTTGCCGTGCGCAGCGAAATTGCTACTGGGAGCTCACGCTGTAACTTTTAAGCGTACTTTTCAGCGCGCTTCAAGCCTTAGCAGCCGTACAGGGGTGCTATGTCGCGCTTTTTGCACTCCCAGGAGACTTGGAAGAGGGAAGTGACGTCAACGACTAGAGCAAATACAGATTTGATGTTGACAGAAGAAAACAAAATCAGCATCCAATCTGCATTTGCTGCGTTGTTGACGTCACTTCCCTTTCCCTAGTCTCCTGGGAGTGCAAAAAGCGCAACATAGCCCCCCTGTGGCCACCGCAGAACACGGTAACGGTC